ATGAAAGCTTAAGTACAAAACCATCAACTAATTCTAGAGAGAGATCTCCAATGGGTTCAACTTTAGCTTCAACTTCATTTGCTACTTTAATTCTTCTTTCTCCTCTTTGCAGGGTCCTCCTCGTATGGAATCCCTGTAATGAATTTGCAATATGAATAGTTGCACCTGAATCAATCCACCAAGTAGATTTTGAATAACTTAAATACAAAGACTCATCTATGAATGTTATAATGTCCTCACCTTTCTTCAGAAGGTTCTTCAGGAACTCTGGATGGTCCTTCTGGTAATGTCCACGCTTCTTGCACCATTTGTAATAATCCTTGTCAACTTGTTCATTGTTGTTCTTCTGCTGGTGATCAATCTGATGGGCTTCCCCATGAGGTTGGGCATTAAAATTCTTCCTTTTATTGTTCTTCACAAGGTTTGCAGAGTCATCCTGTGAGCTTTTAAGCCTTTCCTCCTCTTGCACACACACATTGCAATGAGCTTCTCAATGTCCCTCTTATCGGGCTGCATATTGTAGTTAACAACAAAAGTTTCATACTCTTTCGGCAAGAAAGCAAAAACCAAATGAATTAGGAACTCGTCTTTGAGCCCCAAATCCATTGGCTTGAGCTTGGATGTCGTGTTGCTCATCTTCAATATGTGTTCTCTTATACCTCCGCTATAGTATTTCTCATTGAATAATTTCTTTATCAAGGTACTGGCATAAGCCTTTGAAGAGCCAGTGAACTGACTCTCCACCTTTTTAAGATACTCTATGGCGGTATCACAATCTAGGATAGACCCTCTTATTGCATCTGAAATTGTGGACTTAGCCACCATCAAGCACTTGCGGTTTGAAATGTCCCTTTTCTTATGTTCAAGATCATACTCCATCCGCACTTCTGCATAATCTCGCTGCCGAGCAGTGAAATCAACATCAGTCTCATTATCTTCCCTCACTGGGTCCACTAGCTCAGACGGACACAGGGAGGTAAGCGCTAGGTCATTTTCAGATAGCGCAAGTGCTAGTTCATACTTCTCTCGCCATACCATGTAGCTGCCCCCTTCAAGAGGTGGTATGTGCGAGATAAAAGCCATTGAGTTGAGTCCTGAAAAACACCATCAGAGATAGTGAGAAAATATGACATCATAATTGCATGCTTTAATTTAACGTTGGTTAAAATTAAAACACACAACATTCTTATACACTAATTGTACATCATCATTGGGCAGAAATAGAATTAATACATGAAAAACTTATTAATGAATATTATAATATTAATATTATCAATGTTGGTCAGAAAAACAACAATATTATAATTTACTGAATTAAATTCAATTGCCCTTCAAATTAAATTCTCCCGTTGGTTCGAAGTTGGTTCGAATTTAATTAGAAGATAATAAACTTTAACATTGCAGCGAAAACATAAAAAAAATTATTTGTCTACTTTTCAGAAGCATTTCTGTGTGCTAATCTACTCTCTGAAAAAATTATCTCATTGGTTTAAATTTTGACAGAGATTGAATCTGGACAAAAAATCATCAAAATTTGCTTCTGAAAATGAATAAAACAATAACTCAGTTTGTACTATTCATTTAGCCCAGCCCGTTGAAACAGTGCTCGGCCCAGTAGCGAAATTCCGCCCACGCGCGCGCGCTCGTGGCCCAGCAGTGGCCCAATAGAGCGCGCGCGCGCCCGCTCCCCCGTGGTTAGGCCGCAATCTGGGCCTAGGCCAGGATTCTCCTTCCCCGCCTGGGCTGTATCTGGCCCGATGGCTCTTAGCCGTTCATCGCGATCGGACGGTTGTCCGTCGTTCTCGGCGGATATAAAAACGGCGATGACGGCCACGCGCCCGAACCCTAGGTCATTCTTCTCATTCTCTTCCCTCTCTTTGCCGTGGTGTTGGCTCTCTCTCCCACTCTCACTCCAAACCACGACGACTCGAGAGATAAAGCATGGTGGCGCCGCCGTGGCGCCCTTTGTCGATGCACGCGTGTGGCTAGATCCGCGCGCGGCGCCGTCGAGCGGCACCGTGGTGGTGGTCTTTGCGCCCCACACGCGCCGTGGTGGAGACTTTCCCTAAACCCTAGATCTGACCTGCGCCGCCGCAGGTCCTCTCGCCGGAGCGCGCGCTCCCGAGTGGGTGAGCGCGCCGCCGTCGAGCGGTCATGTGACGGTGCCCTCGGTCGGGCTCGCGCGCAAGGCAGCGAGCGTGGCTCGGCTTCTCCCCGCGCGTCGGCGAGGCGGCGGTGGATCTCCTTCCCACGCGACGGTAGGATACAACCCACGCGACGGCGGTGGTGACGCGCGGCGGAGAGTCCGGGTAGGTCCTCCTTTCCTTCGTCCGATCCGTTTCTAGGGTTAGGGTTTGAGTTCCTTTTCGAAATCGAGACCCTTTCTTTCTAATTTTCTTCACCCGATTAGGGTTTAGGGTTCAGATCGAACCCTTTGCTTAGATCCGAATCGGATCTCTCACCTCCTTCTAATTGCTGCTACTCAATTTTCTACCCCGATAAGCTAGATCTACGCCTAGTTAGGCGACTGATACCATTGATAGAATATTATAGGATCACTAGCCATAGATCTAGCATACTGTCGGGGACCTAATACCGGGGTACTCGATGAGGTAGAACTAATGACCATCGAACGTTTACATTTCAGTCGCAAGAGAGCACTCTTTGCGCTTCTTGCCCGAACAATGGGAGACTGGTTCCGCCTCGCCCGATCACCGAGGGCTAGACTCAGTCTCGCCCGATGGCTAAAGGCGAGCTCCATCTCGCCCGATGTTCGAGGGCGGGCTCCGCCTCGCCCGACCACCGAGGGCTAGACTCTCTCGCCCCTGATGGCTAAAGGCGAGCTCCGCCGCCGACGTCCCGAGGGCGGGCTCCGCCGCCCGATGGCGAAGGCCTAGACTAAGTCTCGCTGACCCCACGAGGGCTAGGCTCCGCCTGTCAGACGATCGAGGGCTAGCTCCGCCTCGTCCATGACCGCACTCCCCGATCCTTCATAAAGACGAGCACAGTGGTTCGATAGGGACATTCGAGTCAACCATGATATCGAGGGTCATGCCCTCGTATACTGCGAGGAAGGTATCGTCGACTATGATGGGACGGGTGCTTTACGCCACTTTCCGTCATAACGAGGACCGAATAGCGCTAGGGCGCCAACTTTTGTCCCACAAGTTGTAGTAGGCGCCGCCTTCACCCTGGTAGCGGATACTAACATAGGCATACAACAACCACTACGGTCCAAGATGTAACTCACATCATCTATAGTGACGAACGTGTGGTCACTTCCCCGATTACTCCCCTCGAGGAGTCATAGCTCGGCTCTTCACGCCGCCGCATCCGGCCGGGGCATAGGATGGGACGCACTCACTTGCTAAAATAGGGCTGTGGTATGGCCTACGAGGATCAACAAACACGCCACCTCTCGACATGGTCTCGCCATGTTAAAACAAGGAAGGCACAGGGAAAAAGGAAGACCCGACTCCCTCGAATGACCTTCTATACCTTTGGTATTTTCCTCTTTCTCCCATCTGTAAACCCCTGCTCCCCCCTTGGTCTATAAAAAGGAGGGCAGGGCCCCCCATTGAAGGGACCGACTTTTGACGGATTAGTTCAACACACAACACATTACGCATACCGCCAAGCAGCGACCAAGCTCTTGGCATCCTTTCGACTATTCTTTCAGAGACTTGGGACATTTTCCTCTCTCGACTGTTTTGTACCTCCTACTACGGACTTTTTTCGGTACTAATAACATGAGCAGCAGCAGCAGACTGGACGTAGGGATATTCCGCCCGAACCAGTATAAACCTTGTGTCCTTTAGTGCACCATCCGGGCCTAACACGCAATAATTATAAATTTACTATCCGGTGTTTGTTCGAAACACCGACCCATACCTACTGACATTTGATGAAGTGTAAACCCTAGAACATAAACTAAAATGAGAAACAGAGAGAAAGAGGGAGAGAGAGGTTGCGGAGGTGCAAACCATCAGTCGCCTTCATAGAAGACGAGCTGGCCATGAGGTTGCTCGTCGGGTGGCGCGTGAAGCTCCCAGTGTGTGAAGGCGCGTGTCGCCAGTGGCGACAATGCAGGTGGCGGTGGCGGTGGTGGTCTTCTGGCCACCGACTTCCCTCTTAGATCGGTTAGGGTTTAAGGATCAGAGGTGGGCGTCTCATGGCTCAGGTGAACCTCGTGCCTTGTGCCCCGCCTCCACCTCCTTTTTTATGGTGCTGTGCGATGGGGCCCACCAACCATGGAACGGTTGGGCGCCCCCGATCAGGGCACGGATCCAAGGGCCCAATTAATCGTTGGGCTAATTGGTGGAGATCATCTAACAGCATGCAAGCAGCAAAGACCAAAGGCGGATTCAATGGGGGGGGGGGGGCGCCGAGCCCCCCTACCGATCTGGAGCCTTGGGCGCCCAGAGCCCCATGAATTTTTAGACAAAGTCCTATCGTGTAGGAGGGGCTGAGACTTAAGATCGAATAGCAGTCAGAGGTATGTTGCTATCGCACTTTTGTTCAGCCCCTAAAATTTTTCCTAGATCCGCCACCATGCAGCACTGACCTTGGATCCTGAGATTCTACAGGCACAAGCTGCACAGGCTCCATTGCTCCATGACCTCATCAAACTCTAAACTCTTTCACCTCCTCCTACCCTCTCAAGCATAGCCTATTTAGACCCCACTCTACTTTCTTGTTCTTACTGCTATCTTTGTCCTCCCTCTTCCCCTGCAACTACTACGAGGCGAGCATATAAAAAACCTTGCACCATCTCCCATGGCCTCTCTTTCTCTCTCTTCGTCTTCTTCCTCTGTTTGTACTAGTCTTGAAACATAAGCAAGACCAAGATTTGCGGGCAATTAGAAGTAGTACATTGCAATTCTACAGAATTATCGTGTTCTTGGACATATACTTACAAATTCAGTACAAGTGTTAGTATGAGTCTTGGTGTTATGATGAGTAGGAGAAGCAAATGGCGGGCGGTGGCGGCAGCGCCGCTCATGGCGTGCGCGGTGCTGGTGCTGTGCGTGGGCTGTGCCGTCGCCGTGGACGAGCAGGGGGCGGCGCTGCTGGCGTGGAAGGCCACACTGCGCGGCGGCGATGCGCTGGCCGACTGGAAGCCGACCGACGCGTCGCCGTGCCGGTGGACGGGCGTGACGTGCAACGCGGACGGGGGCGTCACGGAGCTGAGCCTGCAGTACGTCGACCTGTTCGGCGGCGTGCCGGCGAACCTGACCGCCCTGGGCTCCACGCTGTCCCGGCTCGTCCTTACCGGCGCGAACCTGACGGGGGCCATACCGCCGGAGCTCGGCGAGCTGCCGGCGCTGGCACACCTCGATCTCAGCAACAATGCGCTCACGGGGCCAATACCGGCGGGGCTGTGCCGGCCGGGGAGCAAGCTCGAGACGCTGTACCTCAACTCCAACCGCCTGGAGGGCGCCCTGCCGGACGCCATCGGTAACCTCACCTCTCCGGGAGCCTCATCATCTACGACAACCAGCTCGCCGGCAAGATACCGGCGGCCATCGGCCGGATGGCCAGCCTTGAGGTGCTCCGTGGCGGCGGGAACAAGAACCTCCAGGGCGCTCTTCCTACCGAGGTCGGCAATTGCTCCCCAGCTCACCATGATCGGCCTCGCCGAGACTAGCATCAACGGGCCGCTGCCGGCGAGCCTCGGCCGGCTCAAGAACCTCACCACGCTGGCCATTTACACGGCGCTGCTCTCCGGCCCGATACCGCCGGAGCTCGGCCAGTGCACAAGCCTGGAGAACATCTACCTCTACGAGAACGCGCTGTCCGGGTCCATCCCGGCGCAGCTCGGCAGGCTCAAGAGGCTCACCAACCTGCTGTTGTGGCAGAACCAGCTCGTCGGCATCATCCCGCCGGAGCTCGGGTCGTGCCCCGGGCTCACCGTCGTCGACCTGTCGCTCAACGGACTCACCGGCCACATCCCGGTGTCTTTCGGCAACCTGCCGGCGCTGCAGCAGCTGCAGCTTAGCGTGAACAAACTCTCCGGCACGGTGCCGCCTGAGCTCGCCCGGTGCAGCAACCTCACTGACCTCGAGCTCGACAACAACCAGCTAACCGGCAGCATTCCTGCCGTGCTCGGTGGCCTCCCGTCGCTGCGCATGCTCTACCTCTGGGCCAACCAGCTGACGGGCACGATCCCGCCGGAGCTCGGCCGGTGCACGAGCCTCGAGGCGCTCGACCTGTCGAACAACGCGCTGACCGGCCCCATCCCGCAGTCCCTCTTTGCTCTGCCACGGCTTTCCAAGCTACTGCTCATCAACAACAACTTGTCCGGCGAGTTGCCGCCGGAGATTGGCAACTGCACGTCTTTCTCCGGTTCCGAGCGAGCGGCAACCACATCGCCGGCGCGATACCGACTGAGATCGAAAGCTTAGTAACCTCAGCTTCCTTGACCTCGGTTCGAACCGGTTGTCTGGCGCTCTGCCAGCAGAGATATCTGGGTGCCGGAATCTCACGTTCGTCGACCTGCACGACAACGCTATCTCCGGCGAGCTGCCACCGGGGCTGTTCCAGGACTTGCTCTCTCCAGTACCTCGACCTCTCCTACAACGTCATCGGAGGCACTCTCCCGTCGGACATCGGCATGCTCACCTCGCTGACGAAGCTCATCCTCAGCGGCAACCGGCTGTCAGGGTCGGTACCACCGGAGATTGGTTCGTGCTCCCGCCTCCAGCTCCTCGACGTCGGCGGCAACTCACTTTCCGGCAAGATTCCGGGGAGCATAGGCAAGATTCCGGGCTGAGATTGCTCTCAACCTCAGCTGCAACAGCTTCACCGGCACAGTCCCGGCAGAGTTCACCAGGCTTGTCAGGCTCGGGGTGCTCGACGTGTCGCATAACCAGCTGTCCGGCGATCTCCAGACCCCGTCCGGGCTCCAGAACCTCGTGGCGCTCAACATATCCTTCAACGGCTTCACGGGCCGGCTGCCGGAGACGGCGTTCTTCGCAAAGCTACCGGCGAGCGACGTCGAGGGCAACCCGGCGCTGTGCCTCTCCTGGGTGCGCGGGCGACGCTGGCGACCGCGAGCGCGACGCGCGCCAAGCGGCGCGCACGGCGATGGCCGTGCTGCTCTCCGCCCTCGTCGTCCTCCCCGTGTCCGCGGCGCTCGTCCTCGTCCTCGTCGGCGGCACCAGCGCCGCGCGCGCCGGCTGGGAGAAGGACGGCAGATGTTCCGCCATGGAACGTGACGCTGTACCAGAAGCTTGAGATCGGCGTGGCGGACGGGCGCGCAGCCTGACGCCCGCGAACGTGATCGGCCAGGGTGGTCCGGCTCGGTGTACCGCGCGAGCCTCCCGTCGAGCGGCGTGACCGTCGCCGTGAAGAAGTTCCAGTGGTGCGACGCGGCGTCCGCGGAAGCGTTCGCCTGCGAGGTGAGCGTGCTCCCCGGGTGCGCCACCGCAACGTCGTCCGGCTGCTGGGGTGGGCGGCCAACCGCCGCACGCGCCTCCTGTTCTACGACTACCTCCCGAACGGCACCTCGGCGACCTTCTCCACGGCGGCGGCGCACGGGCGGCGGCGGCACGGCGGCGCCGCCGTGGTCGAGTGGGAGGTGCGGCTCGCGATCGCCGTCGGTGTGGCTGAGGGCCCCGCGTACCTCCACCACGACTGCGTGCCCGGGATCATCCACCGCGACGTCAAGGCCGAGAACATCCTCCTCGGGGAGCGTTACGAGGCGTGCGTCGTCGCGACTTCGGCCTGGCCAGGTTCGCCGACGAGGGCGCCAGCTCGTCGCCTCCGCCGTTCGCCGGATCCTACGGCTACATCGCTCCCGGTGTTGGCCGTCCGGCCGTTCCCTGATCTGAATTAAGTTCCTGACATGACATTTATCAATTCATTTGATCAATTCGTCCTGATCGACGCACGCACCGCAGAGTACGGCTGCATGACCAAGATCACGACGAAGAGCGACGATGTACAGCTTCGGCGTGGTGCTGCTGGAGATGATCACGGGGCGGCGGCCGCTGGACCACCGTTCGGCGAGGGGCAGAGCGTGGTGCAGTGGGTGCGCGACCATCTCTGCCGGAAGCGGGAGCCCCTGAGATCATCGACGCGAGGCTGCAGGGGCCGGCCGGACACGCAGGTCCAGGAGATGCTGCAGGCGCTGGGCATCGCGCTGCTCTGCGCCAGCCCGCGGCCCGGAGGACCGGCCGATGATGAAGGACGTGGCGGCGCTGCTGCGTGGCATCCAACACGACGACAGCAGCATCGAGGCGCGGAAAGCTGGAGGCGGAGGAGCGGAGGCCGAGGCCGCCGGGGCGAGAAGTGGGCCGACCTGAAGCAGCCCATTTCTCCGACCAAATTGATGGCTCCTCACGCCCAACCAGCCCAGGGCCAGGCTCAGGGCCGGACAAGTTCTGGGTCTCAAAGCCTGCTCAAGAACAGGGAGTGAAAGGAAATGATCTGGGCCCACTGCCACCGTGTGGTGTACCGTTTAGGGACCCATGTAGCGGAGATGGATGGCACCCAGGTAAGATGTGTCAGTGTTGGAAACGAGAAAAGTAGAGGGGTGCGTCGTTTTGCTAGGTGCAACCTTGTGTGATGTGGGTACAAAATGGAATCTTTAGAATTTGTTAGTGATGATGATGACAGGGGATCTATAGAGGGTCTCATGAGTCATGAAAGGCTAATAATGTTTTGTACCATAAATCCGGCATAGTGCAATGGAGGCTAGTAAATTGTTATATGATTGATGATAATGCATATGTGGTCAATGAATATGTTTGCAAAAGGGAGCACATGAACCCTGTAT